CTGAAAATATTAATGTTTGCCAATTAAAAGTAAAGGATAATTTTCATTATCTTTAGGCATATTGGGCAAAAGGGCTAGTCCTATATTTTGTAGACCAATAGACACTCTGTGGGTGATGTCGGCAACATTATGCCGACCGCCTTTACTTCCCAGGATTTTACCTGGTACCCACTAAAGGCTGGGTGGACCTGGGAGTCAATGTCATTTTTTTAAGAGAAAAAAAAAAGTCCGGCTCCTTTAAGGCCTGAACCAATGACCTGGATTCACAGGTGAGCGACTAGCTACTATCCACAGGTGAGCGACTAGCCACTACCCACAGGTGAGTAACTAGCCACTACCCCCTGGTGAGTAACTAGCCACTACCCACAGGTGAGTAACTAGCCACTACCCCCTGGTGAGTGACTAGCCACTACCCACATGTGAGCGACTAGCTATTACCCACAGGTGAGCGACTAGCCACTACCCACAGGTGAGCGATTATAGCTACTACCCACTGACTAGCTACTACCCACAGGTGAGCGACTAGCCACTACCCACAGGTGACGCGACTATGAGTGCGACTAGCCACTACCCACAGGTGAGCGACTACTACTACCCACAGGTGACGACTAGCTACTACCCACAGGTGAGCGACTAGCTACTACCCACAGGTGAGCGACTAGCTACTACCCACAGGTGAGCGACTAGCTACTACCCACAGGTGACCGACTAGCTACTACCCACAGGTGAGCGACTAGCTACTACCCACAGGTGAGTGACTAGCCACTACCCACAGGTGACTAGCTAGCCACTAGCTACTACCCACAGGTGAGGGACTAGCCACTACCCACAGGTGAGCGACTAGCCACTACCCACAAGTGTGAGCGACTAGCCACTACCCACAGTTGAGCGACTAGCTATTACCCACAGGTGAGCGACTAGCTATTACCCACAGGTGAGCGACTAGCCACTACCCACAGGTGAGCGACTAGCTACTACCCACAGGTGAGCGACTAGCTACTACCCACAGGTGAGCGACCTACCCACAGGTGAGCGACTAGCTACTACCCACAGGTGAGCGACTACTACCCACAGTTGAGCCTAGCAGGTGAGCGACTAGCCACTACCCACAGATGAGCGACTAGCCACTGATGAGCGACTAGCCACTACCCACAGGTGAGCGACTAGCCACTACCCACAGGTGAGCGACTAGCTACTACCCACAGGTGAGCGACTAGCCACTACCCACAGCGACTAGCTTATCCACTACTAGCCACAGGTGAGCGACTAGCTACTACCCACAGGTGAGCGACTAGCTACTATCCACAGGTGAGCCGACTACCCACAGGTGAGCGACTTGTGTGGCGACTAGTCACTACCCACAGAGTGACTAGCGACTAGCTACTAGCATACCCACAGTTAAGCGACTAGACTACCCACAGGTGAGCGACTAGCTACTACTAGCTACTACCCACACAGGTGAGCGACTAGCTACTACCCACAGGTGAGCGACTAGCCACTACCCACAGGTGAGCGACTAGCCACTACCCACAGGTGAGCGACTAGCTACTACCCACAGGTGAGCGACTAGCCACTACTACCCAGCTACCCACAGGTGAGCGACTACTACTACCCACTACACAGTGAGCGACTAGCTACTACCCACAGGTGAGCGCTAGACTAGCCACTACCCACAGGTGAGCGACTAGCGACTAGCTACTACCCACAGGTGAGCGACTAGCTACTACCCACAGGTGAGCGACTAGCCACTACCCACAGGTGAGCGACTAGCCACTACCCACAGGTGAGCGACTAGCCACTACCCACAGGTGAGCGACTAGCCACTACCCACAGGTGAGCGACTAGCTACTACCCGCAGGTGAGCGACTAGCTACTACCCACAGGTGAGCGACTAGCTACTACCCGCAGGTGAGCGACTAGCTACTACCCACAGGTGAGCGACTAGCTACTACCCACAGGTGAGCGACTAGCCACTACCCACAGTTGAGCGACTAGCTACTACCCGCAGATGAGCGACTAGCTACTACCCACAGGTGAGCGACTAGCTACTACCCACAGGTAAGCGACTAGCTACTACCCACAGGTGAGCGACTAGCCACTACCCACAGTTGAGCGACTAGCCACTACCCACAGGTGAGCGACTAGCCACTACCCACAGGTGAGCGACTAGCCACTACCCACGGGTGAGCGACTAGCCACTACCCACAGGTGAGCGACTAGCCACTACCCACAGGGGAGCGACTAGCTACTACCCACAGGGGAGCGACTAGCTACTACCCACAGGTGAGCGACTAGCCACTACCCACAGGTGAGCGACTAGCTACTACCCACAGGTGAGCGACTAGCCACTACCCACAGGGGAGCGACTAGCTACTACCCACAGGGGAGCGACTAGCTACTACCCACAGGTGAGCGACTAGCCACTACCCACAGGTGAGCGACTAGCCACTACCCACAGGTGAGCGACTAGCCACTACCCACAGGGGAGCGACTAGCTACTACCCACAGGGGAGCGACTAGATACTACCCACAGGGGAGCGACTAGCCACTACCCACAGGTGAGCGACTAGCTACTACCCACAGGTGAGCGACTAGCCACTACCCACATGTGAGCGACTAGCCACTACCCACAGGTGAGCGACTAGCCACTACCCACAGGGGAGCGACTAGCTACTACCCACAGGGGAGCGACTAACTACTACCCACAGATGAGCGACTAGCCACTACCCACAGGTGAGCGACTAGCCACTACCCACAGGTGAGCGACTAGCTACTACTATAGGGCGACCTACCCCGTCGCGTTTTTTATCATTGCTACGCAGGTGTATGATAAATAGCGACGATAAAAAGCATATATCAGAAAACTACAAACAACACAATATCAGTATAACTTCAATAGCAAAACTGCGTCTCTCTTCTCCCAGAATTAGACACTTACTTATGATGACTACATGAATCCGGGAATTACCGTTTTTTTTTTTTTTAACCAGATGGGTGACGCTTAAATACTAATTTCTGTAACACGACGTCTCACATTCTGAACTGGGAGCCGTCGGTTAATGAGACCTGAAGAAAACAGAACATATTTCGTTGAAACCTTGGTAAGACCCCGTTACTTTCTAGCATGCGAAATTGTGTCTAAAGTATTAAACAGAGCGTGTTGGCCTTAAGGTAATGGGCTTGATCTCTTTTCAAGGTTTTTTTTTTAAGGATTTATCCAGCCTGAAATGGCCATCAGAAGGTGTCATGGGAAATAAAGGCGATCGGCGTCAAAGTTAACGCCACAAACCATGTCATAGATAAATGATGTCTGTTGCGTTTGGATGACATGCTTTGCACGATTTACGGCGTTGTTGCTTTGGCCATAATAAAAATTTAGTTTCATTATTTAACAGTTATACCGTCGTCATGATCATGTGCCGTATCAGTAAGCGTAGTCATCTCACACGATCTCCAGATCTCTGATCAGTTCTGGTTTTATATATATATATATATATATCGGAAATTCCCTATATTGTATCAGTAAAATAGGAAGTATATATTTAGAACATCAGCTTTGACTTTAAACAGAATAACTACGCAATAGTTACGCAATGGGTGGTTATCGCTTAGTCACTTTTATATAAACAGCATGATGTCACAGAACTAATTCACCACGCAAACTACGAAGAGTATTACTGAACTGGAATTGTGGGTATAAACTGTGACTGTACGTAAGATTTTCTACATTTAATTTACAAAGTCTAACCTATTCATGTGATCCACTGTTTAACTAGAGAAGTGGAGTTATTGTGACATTGTTGTATAAGGAAAGTAAGCAACTGACCCTTTTCACACTAATGCAGCACTGGATGGGTCAATGATCGACGTCATGCCGGCTTTTTTTACTTCCCATGGGTATGCCCCGCGTCTGTACTCTAAAACTGCCAATTGCCCCTTTTATGAAACTCCACGTATACGCTGGGGAATAGAGTGAGTTACTGGCGCTCAGTCCCTCCATGACGGCACCACGAGCGATAAACACCTGGTGACACAGAATCCGGATGAGAATTCAACCGAGCGGAAGTCTTTGAAACCCCGTTCAACAGTTAGGGGCCCGACGAGAGCCGAGGCGGGGCATTAAAATACCACAAAATTACATACCATATTGGGACGGGGTTGTGGTTCGAGAATAGAACATACACTTCTACTGTTATATCCGTAGACTTTATCAAAGATTGTATAAGTTTGGATACTTTTAATGCCTGAGATTTGCCTATAAGAATTTTCACTGTAGCGTGATTTTTGTGTGTGTTTCATAGCAGTTAAAGAGCATTTTGTTTCGTTTATTTCTTAGCGGAAATGGTTCGCAGTTTAATACCGTGGCCGAGTAAGTAATTAATCTGGTAACCACGGCAACCTATGGATTTTTTTGGGAGAGGGGGGGGGGGGGTGCTAATTAATTTTTAAATGGAGCATAGGCCATCAACCAATTCACACTAAGTTGGCTTATTGCTTGCTTCCGCGCGCAGCTCACTCCCTTTCAACGCCGTCGTATTCAACTCGGTTTCTTCTTAGTGTTTTTTAACCCCATTTTATTCCGTTGACTCCCATCTGTTCAAAAGCTAGTAGATATAGCGCCTAGTTCTAGTAGTTTTAATTCTTTAACGGATGAGGGGGTCAACCATTGAACCCAACCCTTCCCTCAGAGACCTCTTACTACAAGTTGTTAGGATTCAGCGTTGCCATTCTTTTTCCCTAATGGTCTTGTTAACACATGGGTGAATCTGTCACGTAGATATAGATAATCTATTTCAAGCGAAAGAAAGAAGAAGAATCTGTCACGTGCTTCGTCTTAATTCATGTAATAATCTAAACATATCTAACTCTGTTTCAGCCATTTCGATACCTTTCTTGGTGACTACTAACTTGGATTCAGACAAATATATTTTTTTCTGCGATTTTTCGAAACACACGGAATCTCGTTTACAAAGGATTGACGAATTTAGCTGTCCGTTTGTATGAATCCTGGCATGCGCTATGAAGTACTACGACTGCAGTCGTTCAAACATGCCAGACTTGATGACCTAGGACACGTTTCGGTGATTCTGCTTGCTGAGGTAGGATTTTATTTTGATCACATCACTGATCGGGTCCTATGCTTCAGCTGCGGCTACGAATATCTCCGCCAATTCTCCTCCATTTTGCGTGACATTGTTCATGAATCCACTTGTCAACGTCACGAACTGAACAAGTCAATCAGGGACACTACTTTCGGTCTAACGCCGGATGTCATACAGCAGGAGCAACTTGCAGTAGGACAGCAGATCAACGGACATGATTTCTCCAGTGTAGACAGCTTCCGTGAGCGTCTCCCGTCGAATAATGGAACATTGCACGATTCACCAAATACACACCCTAATCAAATAACCTTGAATAACGAACAGCAACAGTATAGAAGCACTATACAAGATCCACAAAGCAGAGACAGACTGACACTGTCGCCTTGTACAACAACTCCCCAAACGACATATTATCAAGCCGGGACAGTCACAGAAAGACAAAGCGCATCTGGACACCCAGCCCTTAACATAAGCAGCGTCTCGTATCCTCATTTCTCAACCAGACAGGCTCGAATCGCCACCTTCGCCAGCTGGAGCCCTGCTCATTCTCATCGACCTGATGATTTTGCAGATCTTGGATTCTTCTTTACAGGTGACTCGTTTTAACCTCAGTTATATTTGTCTTCTTGTCAGTTCATTTTCATCAAGGAAAATCCATGAAAGTTCTACTTCCCGGCTAGTGGATACATTTGGTTGTTTCAACCAAATGAAATAAGTTTCCGTTACATTACAAACATGTCGCATCTATTTGCTTCAGTGTGTAATCAGTTGTAATTTCCGTTTGAGTTCCTGTGTCCCACTGAGGCAGAGGGGTGGGAAGGGGAAGGGTATATCCCCGTTTGAATTCTTGTGTCCCACTGGGGCAGAGGAATGGGGGGGGGGGGGGGGTGGACTCGCTACCCTTTAACAAGCATGTCGTAAAAGGTGGCCTCTTAAGGGATTGAGAATTTGTATGTGTTGGACCTAAATGCGCAGACATTACAATTAGCTCTAAATCACTACTTAGTGCGTCAACGGACCATTTACGAACGAACACATAAAATGAAGGACCAGTTTCCAGTTTTTGAGGCTTATTTCGGTATGTGCTTTGCCTGTCCTACATGGTTATTGGCCAATCGGGAATTGACACAGAATAGGAGTGGTTAGCACAACAACTGGCCGCTTTTACTTCTTAGGAATTGTATCTGGTATCTGTTTTAAGATGGGTCTACGCCATTGGGTGTAAGTGTAATGATGGGCCGCAGACGGATGAAAAGTACAACCAGAACTAACATAGTGTAGACTAACACAGAATGATGTTGTAGGCAGGCGGCAGGTAGCTGCGCGCCGACACAGGGAAAACATTAGGGGTGGGGGACTCAGACTCCCCCCCCCCCCCCCCAATCAATGCGCACATCGGAGATAGGGTCGCCCATTGGCTTATAATGCTAAGCCATTTTTTATGGCGCACATAACCTAGTCACAATTATAACATAAAAATTCCTTCTTCAGGGATGCTGGTTGATCGTCACGACCCCCCCCCCCCCCCCCCCCCCCCAAAAAAAAAGAACTGATGCTGAAGTCACATAAGCTAAAAACTGTGATTTTGTGACATCAGATTTACCCCCCCCCCCCCCTCTCGACCAACAACAAGAAAAAACCATCTACATCTATATTTGGTTCTGGATTTTGTTAGCTGTATGATGGCCACGAAACAATTTTACATGTTTTGATGGACCGCGGTTTTATAACAGTTGAGAAACACTAGTTTACCGCATATACAATAAAGGACATTTTGTATACTTTTCACAGCAAGTTCGATAATCACATGTATATTTAAATCTGGCAATAGCCCACACAAAATGATAACAAATTAAAAAAAAATATTTGGAGATTTTAATGCAAAAGTAGGGAAAGAGAGAACGGAAGATGTAGTTGGGGAATTTGATTAAGGATCAAGAAATGAATGAGGTGAAAGTCCAGATACAAAAATCATTCAATCAAATAGGTTATATACTAATTAATAAAAGGGTTAGAAATGCACTTAAAAAATGTGAAGACAAGACCTAGTGCTGACTGTAACAGTGACCTAGGTCCTTTTATGTGGAAAATTAAATGTACGACTGAAGAGGGGAAAGAAAGAGATGAAAAAATGTAGACTAACCAAAGATATTCTAAAAAAGGATAAAAGACATTCAGGAGCGTTATAGAGTGATTGTAAGAAACAGGTACAACGCAATTAAAAAAAAGGATAAAAGATCATTGGGAAATGCTGAAAGAGTCTATACATCAAACAAGCAAAGAGATTTTACCAGAAAGAAGACAAGTAGCTAAACAGAAATGGATGACCAAAGACATTTTAAAGTTAATGGGTGACAGAAAGCAGTGTAGGAATGACAAAGAAGAATACGAAAAGATAAATAAAGAAATAAGGCATAAGTGTATGAAGGCAAAAGAAGAGTGGCTAAATAAAAAATGTAAAAAAAATTGAAAACAGTCCTGTTCAAGATGCAAAAAGTGTGCATAAACAAATTAACGATCTAACTGGAAGAAAGATAAGAGTAAACACAGGATGTCTGAAATCAAAAGCACGGGAGAGATCTTAACGGAGGAAGATGATATAATAACTAGATGGAATGAATACATAAAAGAGTTATGTGATGGAAAAAGAGCAGAACTGCCACAAGAAAGAAATTTAGAAGGTCAGTCTGTACTAAAGGAAGAAGTTAGCGATGCTATTAAACTTATGAAGAAAGGAAAATCAACTGGGCCAGATGAAATTTCGGTAGAAGAATAAGAAGTTCCAAGAGAATTTGGGGTATAAATATTAACTAAACTAATGACTGACATTTATAACATTGGGTACATTCCAAGTGATATGATGAAATCTGTATTTATTGCGTTACCCAAAAGACCAGGAGCAGATGAGTGTGAAGAATTTTGTACAATTTACTTAATAAATCACGTCACTAGATTACTACTTAGAATTATAATGAGAAGAACAAATTAAAAAATAAGAAAGGAAATGAGTGAAGAGCAGTATGGATTTATGGAAGTTATAGGGACAAGTGATACAATATACATATTACGAAAACAGATAGAACAGATCAATGGACACACACATAACAAAGCATTTGACAAAGTTAAACATGAAGAGATGATACAAATGTTGGAAGACATCTATGTAGACGGGAAAGATCTCAGAATAATTTAAAACATTTACTGCAACAAAGTAGCAGCAATTAAAGCGGGACACAGATGGGGTACTTTTGAAAAAGATAAAGCAAGGATAAGGCAGGAATGTGCCTTATCCCCATACCTTTTCTCTCTATATAGTTAAATAATTTGGAGGAAAATTCAAGAGAATGCAGGAGTAAGAGTTGGATGATACAAAATAAACAATTTACGTTACGCAGACGATACAGTTTTGATAGCTGAAAATGCAGCTGATTTACAGTTGCTTTATATTGTGGGGATGGAGAATGCTAAGAGAAGACTTTTTACTGAATATAAAGAAAAAAGAAATAATGGTTATATCAAAGAAGAAGATAACTTCACGTTGTGGTGTCTCAATTGAAGGAAAAAGACTTAAAGAAGTCAATAAATTCAAACATCTGGGATGGAAAATTGTGACAGGTCAAGCACAAGCTGTGTTTCAGAAAATGAAAAATATCTTATGCAATAAATAGCTCTCATTTAATGTCAGAAGAGGGTGCTAAAATGTTACATAGAACCTGTTCTGCTGTATGGCAGCGAATTTTGGAATGTCAGTGAACAAATTAGGAAGAATTTGGAAGCATCAGAGATGTGGTTTATGAGACGAATGTTACGAATAACTTGGACGGCCAGAGTAACTAACAATGATTGCATGAAAGAGGCTAATGAAAGTGGATCTCTATTCACAACAATAAGAAGGAGACAAATAATGTCTATTGGCCACATAATGAGAAGAGAGACATTGGCGAACATCGTGACAACTGGAAAGATCCGTTCGGAAAGGGGTAGAGGTAGACCAAGAGAGATTATGCCGGATGGGCTGAAACGATGGCATGGAGGGACATCATCAAGAGAGCTGTTGCAGGCAACCAGGGATCGCGATCTGTGGAGACGCATGAGAACCTACGCCAGTTGGCATCGCACATGATAATGATAAGACTGCATTTTTTTTGGGTTTTGTTTTATGTACAATTTTTGTTGAACCCGTTTGAAAATAACTAGCGTTGAAAAGGTCTAAATCCGACTTACGACCGGTTCGACTTACGACCTATTCGACTTACGACCGGTTCGACTTACAACAATGGTGAAACTATGGGGGTGACTGCAGTCAATCTAATACAATGAATTCCAGAGAATTTCGATTAAAAAGCTCAACAAAATGGGAAAGAGGAAAACGTGCACAAAACAAAACAACGTAACGTTTCGGCTGGGCAGCCTTTTTCAAACACAAGTGAAATACACAAACGAGGAATGGAGAGTATGTAGATCTCTGAGGGGTGACGTGAGCGACGTTTAAAAAAATGTGATGCGGAATAAATGAAATAAAATAAAATAAACGATGGCTAAAAAATATAGTCACAATACTGGGAATAAAAGAAATGCAAGTGTTAATGATACATAACTGATACTGATAAGAAATAGAATAGGGTAATAATATGAAATAAAATAAAATAAATAACATTTAAAATGTGATAAGATTAGAACTATTTAGATGAAGGTATGTTGGATATTGATACCTCTTGGACTAAGAACGCCAAGGCTGTGGATAACAACAGAACTTACAACAGTTAGACTAGTAACTGTAATAAAAACGGTATCTGTAATCTGGATTCTGACAATTTCTCTACATTTCCCAGGCAACGCAGACTGCGTCAGGTGTTTTTGCTGTGGGCTGGGGCTCAAATATTGGCGGCCCACTGATGACATCGCCTACCAACATTCTCGTCTGCGACCTTCTTGTGCTTTCAATCGTCTGTGTAAGGGTCAGACGTTCGTCGACAGAGTCACGCAACAAATACAAGCTGTTCCAGCAAACGTACATACCAACGCAGCTGTTATAACAGACGGAGTGACCAGTCCAGTTGTCTCCACAAACGGACTGGTCACTCCATTTGCTACAACAGATGTACGAAATCCCAGCCTAGCCAGTTCTCATTCAAATAATTACACTGACTCAAATAGCAGCGAAGACTCAGGTTTTGCACATGCATCTTACGCTAATGGAGACTCCCCTCTGGAGGTCACTAACGGTAAATATTTTACACTTATACTCACTTAACTCTATCCCTGGCACTTGTTTTTTTTAATAATAACAATTCTTTACATGGGCGAAAGTTAAAGGAACAAGCGCAAAAGAAAGGGTTGAAGTTACAAATGAAGGCATTTAAAAAGTTAAACGCAGTAACTATTCCGTAACTGGTATTTCAATCGACTAGCTCAGAATAAAAATTGTAAAGAGAGCTAACAGACTGAATGTTAGTTCATTTGAAGTTAAAGAATATGTACTCAAATATTTATAAAACGGTTAACTTACTTAAAAAGTTAATCTAAATTAATGTAATTAATTTAAACAGTTAAACTAAATTAATGTAACTATTTTAAACAGTTAAAACAAAATTATTGTAACTAATTTTGAAAACTAAATTAATGTAACTTAACTAATTTTAGCCGAGGCAATACAGGCTTGTGTAGAAATTGGAGTCACCTGGCTACTCCACATATTTAGGAAAGCCTGGAATGAAAGAACTGTACCAATAGACTGGCAAAGAGCCCTTATAGTCCCAATTTGGAAAAGAAAAGGCAATAAGCAAGATTGTAACAATTACAGAGGCATCTCCCTTCTAAGCCACGTAGGAAAAATGTTTGCCAAAATTCTGGAACGACGAATTAGATCCGTTGTAGAACCGATCCTGAGCCCATCACAGGTCGGATTTAGGAAAGGAAGAGGGTGTACTGACGCTATTTTAGCTTTGAGACAAGTTAGCGAAAAGACAATAGAACACAGACATCAAATGAACATCGCTTTCATAGATCAAGAAAAAGCTTTCGACAGAGTAAACATAAATTTATTATGGAAAGTTCTTGAAAACTACGGTATAAATGTAACAATTTTAGATTGTGTTAGGGCTATTTATAGACAAAGTGAAAGCGCCATTAGAAAAAGAGCTGGCATCACAGACTGGTTCCCAGTAACATCAGGAGTAAGACAAGGTTGTGTATTATCACCTTTACTTTTCATAATATTTATGGACAATATTAAAAAATAGACATAACACCAACAGATGTTGATAAACAGGAGGACTTCAATGAGCTGCTCTTTGCCGACGATCAATGCCTATTTCACAGTGATAGTAAACAGCTGCAAGACCACATAAACCTACTACACGACAGTTGCCTCAAGCATCATATGAAGATCAATACTGAAAAGACAGAAGTCATGAGCATAAGTATAGCGCAACAGACCATCGACATAAAGATTCTAGATCACAGCCTAAAACAAGTGCAAGAATTTAAATACTTGGGAAGTATCTTTACATTCAATGGTAAAATAGACAGAGAGATCGAAGCAAGAATCCAACAAGCCAACAATGTCGCATACCAGCTTGCCCCAATTTTAAAACACCCTGCTGTCCCAACTGAGATAAAAAGACAAATTATAAATACAATCTTTATACCGACATTAGGTTATCAATGTCAGACTTGGACATTAACAAAAGAACACGAGAGAAGACTAACCACCTGTGAAATGAGATGTTTGAGAATGGCTGCGAATAAAACCAGAAGAGATCGAGTTAGAAACGATGTGATTACAAGAACTATTGGAACCATACCCATCGTTAAATTTATTGAGAAGCAAAGAATGAAATGGTTTGGTCACCTAATGAGAATGGAACCAACGATGCCAGCATCAAGAGCATACAACAAGAAAATCGAAACACCAAGAGGCAGAGGAAGACCAAGAAGAAGATGGATTGAAGGAGTCACGGACAACTTGAGACTTCATAACATCACGGCATATGAAGCGACTGAGCGCGCCCTGGCTCGGTTGCCGATCATCTGATAGACTGCGAAAGAACTAATTTTAAAAGTTGAACTTAATTAATGTAACTAATTTAAAAAGTAAAACAAAGTTACTGTAACTAATTTAAAAATTTAAACAAAATTACTGTATCTAATTTAAAAAATAAAACGAAATTAATGTAACTAATTTAAAAAGTAAAACAAAATTACTGTAACTAATTTAAAAAATTTTGAAAAGTTACAGCAACTAATTGAAAAATTTAAACAAAATTACTGTAACTAATTTAAAAGTAAAAACTAAATTAATATAACTAAGTTAAAAAGTAAAACAAAATTACTGTAACTAATTTAAAAAGTAAAACAAAATTACTGCAACTAATTTGAAAATTTAACCTAATTTAATGTAACTAATTAAACAATTTAAACTAAATTAATATAGCTAATTTCAAAAGTAAAACATAAAACAAAATTACTGTAAATAATTTTAACATTTCAACTAAATTACTGTACCTAATTTAAAAAGTAAAATTGAAATAATGTAACTAATTTAAAACAAAATTAGTGTAACTAATTAAAAAAATTTAAACAAAAATTTCTGTAACTAATAAAAAAAATGTAACCCAAATTACTGTAACTAATTTAAAAAGTAAAACTAAATTAATGTAGCTAATTGAAAAGTAAAACAAATTTACTGTAATTAATGTAAAAATTTAAACCAAATTACTGTAACTAATTTTAAAAAGTAAAACAAAATTACTATAAATAATTTAATTAAAAAAAAAAAAAATTACTGTAACTAATTTAAAAAGTAAAACAAAATTTATGTAACTAATTGTTACAAAAAACTTTATTGCTGTAACAAACTTAAAAAGTAAAAATAAATTGCTGTAACTATTTTAAAAACGTGAAATAAATTTATGTAATTAATTTTAAAAGTAAAACTTGACTGTTGTAACTAATTTGAAAACAAACATCAAAATTGCTGTAATTACTTAAAAAAGTAAAACTAAATTGCTTTACCTCATTAAAAAAGTAAAACTAAATTACTGTAGCTAATTTCAAAAGTAAAACTAAATTGCTGTAAACAGTACAAAGAGTAAAACTAAATTGCTGTACCTAATTTTAAAAGTTAAACTAAATTACTTTAACTAATTCAAAAAGTAAAACTAAATTGCTATAACTAACTTAAAAATTAAAACTAAATTGCTGTAACTAATTCAAAAAGTAAAAAAATTACTGAAACTAATTTTAAAAGTAAAACCAAATTACTGTAACTAATTTAAATAGTAAAACGAAATTGATGTAAGTAATTTAGAAAGTAAAACTAAATTATTGTATCTAATTTACAAAGTTAAACTAAACTACTGTAACTAATTTAAAAAGTAAAACTAAATTACTGTAACCTATTTAAATATTGAAAATAAGTTACTGCAACTAATTTTGAAAAGTTAAACTTAATTTCTGTAACTTATTCATAAAGTAAAACTAAATTAATGTACATAATTCAGAAAGTTAAACTAAATTACTGTAACTAATTAAAAAAGTAAAACGAAATTACTGTAATTATTTTGAAAAGGTAAACTAAAATACTGTAACTAATTTCAAAAAGTTAAACTAAATTACTGTAAGTAATTCATAAAGTAAAACTAAATTGATGTAACTAAAATAGAAAGTTAAACTAAATTGCTGTAATTAATTTGAAAAGTAAAACTGAAATAATGTAACTAATTTAGAAAGTAAAACAAAATTAATGTAACTAATTTAAAAAAAAATTACTGTAACTAATTTGGGAATTCAAACAAATTACTCTAACTAATTTTTAAAAAAGTAAAATCAAATTAATGTCACTAATTTAAAAAGTAAAACAAAATGTATGTAACTAATTTACAATTAAAAATTTTAAACCAAATTGCTCTAACTAATTCAAACATTTAACAAATATTACTGTAAAAGTGAAACTAAATTATTGTAACTAATTTTTAAAGTTGAACAATTTACTGTAACTAATTAAAAAATTTAAACAAAATTATTGTAATTTATTTGAAAATGTAAACTTATTTCTGTAACAAATTAAGAAAGGAAAACTCAATTAATGTAACTAAATTAAATAGTATAACATAATTACTGTAAATATTTTGAAAATATAAACTAAATTACTGTAACTAATTTAAAACTTTAAACAAAATTACTGTAACTAATTTTAAAATTAAACCAAATTACTTTAACTAATTTAAAAAGTAAAACAAAACTACTGTAACTGATTTTTTAAAGTTAAACTAAATTACTGTAACTAATTCAGAAACTAAAACTAAATTAATGTAACTAAGTTATAAAATTAAAATAATTTGAAAAGTAAAACAAAATTACTGTAACTAATTTAAAAATTCAATTAGTGTAACTAATTTGAAAAATTAAGCTAACTTACTGGAGCTAAATTAAGGTAACTAATTTAAAAAGTAAAACAAAATTATGTAACTAATTTAAAATTTTAAACCAAATTCCTATACCTAATTTTAAAAAAGTAAACAAAGTCTATGTAAAAGTAAAACTAAATTAATGTAACTTATTTAAAAAGTAAAACAAAATTACTGTAACTAATTAAAAAATTTAAACGAAATTACTGTAACTAATTTAAAAAATAAAACGAAATTAATGTAACTAATTTAAAAAGTAAAACAAAATTACTGTAACTAATTTCAAAATTTAGGAAAACTTACAGTAACTAATTTAAAAATTTAAACAAAATTACTGTAACTAATGTTTAAAATAAAATCCACATAATGTAACTAAAAAGTGAAACTTAATTATGTTAACTAAGTTAAAGTGAAACAAAATTACTTTAACTAATTTGAAAAGTAAAACAAAATTACTGTAACTAATTTAAAAAGCAAAACTAAATTAATGTAACTAATTTAGAAAGTTAAACAAAATAACTGTAACTACTTTTAAAATAGTAAGTAAAATACAGTAACTTTAAAATTTAAACACAATTACTGTAACATATTGACAAATTTAAGCAAAATTACTGTTACTAATTTAAAAAAGTAAAACAAAATTACTGTAAATGATTAAAAGATGTAAACAAAATAATGTAACTAATCCAAAAAAAAAGATGACGATGATTATGATGATGATGACACACGAAGAATGATGAAGATGACGAGGAAGGTACATGTGGTTCATGAAGTGTTTTACAACACATTAAAAAATTACAAGAGACAGTTCATAAATGAATGCTTGGTTCCAGCGAATCCCTGATAATTCCAGTAATTTCCTAGAAATTGGCTGGAAATGCCAAAAGGATGGGAGCATGCCCCCTGACCTGGAGGTCATAGCCTAGATGGGTCAAGGCCTATAATTCACACCGAACGGCGTGTTTCCTAAGGGATTATCATAGCTCTGGTCAGTGGTCACGATCAATTCACATTTGTAAGCGTTAGCAGGTAACGATTACACGGGAGAGGTTATCACGTGACATTTCCTACTCGGCGCTTAACTGTTGATAATGCATGTGGACAGCTCGCATTGTAGTACTATAACTGGTTCCAAGTAATTAACAGTACAATTATTTACTAATTTTTGGCAGTGGAAAGTGTTGAGCGGCAATACCAGCCGATCCATGCATGCGACTGTCTTTCGTTGTAGTCCTTGTCCAACGTTACACCTGTTAATTGGTAGACATGGATTAAAGTAACTGTCAAACTATTCCAGGTATTCTCGCTGAAGCCCAGCAGGCCACACCAACTGTCAAGGCGCTAACTATATCATCTCTGCGGAACGAGGAGCTTCAGGTTGTGGAGCGAGAGAACTTACTTCTGTCTGCCCGAACCACCTGTCGCCTATGCCAGGCCGCCTCTGTCAGCTGTATATTTCTACCGTGTGGGCACGTAGCCGCATGCCAAGACTGTGCAGATAAGGTCGAAAGATGTGTCCTCTGCAGTAAAGTGATTATTGGAACCGCAAATATATATCTTTCTTAGAATCTCCGGGGGTTTAAAACTCTATGATTAGCTGTTACCATTGTCATCAATGGTTTGTGAAATCAATATGCCTGTTTTAAAAGGAAACGTTCTCGCGGGTTTTATAGTTCTAAGAGAGTCACGCCGTGGGAGAGATTTGGGTCACACCAGAAGAAGAGAAAAGGAAAGTGGTTTTTAACAAGGGTTTGAACAGTGAATTTGACTTTGTGAACCACTTAAGAAACCACTGATGGAAATGGTAGGGTAATCATTTTGGTTCTATGAACATTGGTGATTGTTTAGCAAGAAACACATTTGCAGTCAGTATGATCCATTTAGATAGTATTTATGATCAATTCAAGAGGGCGATTACTTTTTGCGTTTATTGATAGCCTGTTTTTGTTTCCTAACTCCTTACTTTTCTTTCTTGCTTCAGGTTGTCCTTGATATTTTTTTTCACCCAAGATTATTTTATTAGGATTCTCGTATTCTGAATTAAACTTCTCAGATTTATACTTGATTTATTTTACCGATGTATTTCCTAATTGCCTAATTTTTTCCTTTAACTGGTTTCCACTTTATTGTTACTTTGACTGCTTCGTTCACTCAGCTGATTTTTGCTTCAGTTTTTGCTTTCACTTCATCATTTTCTCGAGCCACTTAATTGTTACTGTTAACAATTTTTTCAAGTGATTTCTGTTTCATTTGTTTTCTTTTATTTCGTCGTATTATCGTCTATTGCTATTTCATTTTGTTTTAAACTTTATCATTTATTCTACTGACTTCTGCTTCATTTTTGCTATTATTTCAAGGTTTTGTATTTGTGAATTACTTCACCATGTTTAAAAATAGAAAAAATAGTTGCTTTTTGATGCTTGAGTTGTTAACAACGTACATTTTTTTTTAAAAGACAGTCAGTAATGAAATCTTGTAGCAGGCTGTTTTCCTGTAACTACTCGATGTTTTTCTTTTCCTTTTTCTCAATTCTCTCTTCTATTATTCTCTGCGATATTAATTAATTATGAAACATCAATAAATTCTAATAAACAGTATAATTATGACATTTCATGTGACTGAATAAACTTCTTGTGTTCGCTAAGTGTGTCGTTAATAAATATCTGTGGTCACCTTTTCCCCTCTAAGCTTGTAGCTAAAACAGTTTGTTGCGTATGCTTTATAGGACGTTGCAGAACCAACCCCAGCATTTAGTAACTGTGGTGATTTTTCACTACAAGTTTTACGTTCTGTAGTTTGCCATTGCTCTTGAAAGGTCAGCTCTCGATACCGCTATCGAAACCAGCGCAAGAAAAAAACGTCTGCCGCAAGGATCGAACCCGGTACTCCGGCATCACGAATTGCGTTCGCAACGCGTAAGCCACAGACACCGAGTTAAGAGAGCTAAGACGTTTGAGTTAATCAACTGAGAACTGTGATTCTGCAACCATTGTCAGACTGCAAGAACAGCAAGTTAAATGGGGTGGCGACGAACAAGAACACTACGTGGGTGGGTAGCCAAAGAAGAAGAATAAACCAACACAGGACTGGTCTCGTCAGCCGCTACACGCTGCGGGATTTACTGAGGAGGGGATCCGAGCAATTATGGACTGAGTGGTTCGACGTGCAATGAGGATAATCTGTCGACTAACTCACTACTTACTAACGCCGGGCTAACGTAAAAATAACAGATTTGCCTTTCCTTAATAACATGTTTTAACAGTAGTGGAATATAAATTTGAAAAGCAGAAAATTATCAATTAATATGAAAAATATTCAATACTCGGAGTCAGCAACTCGCAGGACAAAGCTAGTCATAGAGAGGTATGGGGGTAGTAAGATGACTGCAGTAATGAGCCTCACCAGCTCGTAAGGAGGAGGAGGAGGAAAATAATAATAATAATAATAATAATAATTTCATAAACACACAAAACAAAGTATGCACAGCAGACAAGAAAAAGACAGAAACTGCCGTTATCTTCGCCATTCACAGACTACTGCTTATTAAATTATGAAAGAAATGTACCCTGTGACCTGACATACACTTTCCATTCATGTTTAAATATCTACCTATTATATTTACTATGTAAAGAACCAGATAATCCTGTTCCCAAAAAAATGTTCTGTCATCGTATCCTTATTTGCGTGCTATTTTCGTCGTTGTCGTCATCATCATCATCATCATTATCACCATCGTTATCATCATCATAGTCATCAGCTTTATCATCATCATCATCATCTCCGTTACTGGTGCCATCAAAATTGAAATAACGATTTGTGCTGAAGTTGGCGACGGGGAGCTTATGCTAATACCCCGAGTGCTATGATGTCGATTCTTAAATCAACAATCAGTCATCACCGCAAAGATCATCGACTGTGATGTCGATTCTTACAGGGTCCTAAAATTAAGAAATGAGATTTTATTATGGAAAAGACAAAAATGTCATCTATGAAACAAAGCATGGAATCCAATGAGACAACCTTCGTCCGAAGATCTGGCAACTTTTCATCGCCGCCCGATAAGCAGACAACAAACAAGCCGCATTTGGTAGCCTAGTCAGAGGTGCATTGTTACGTAACAGTATCGAGCAAAAAGCTAACAATAAATTACGTTTAAAACTCAGACAAAGCGCCACTGAGATAGTTGAATTGACGTGACAAGTTTATGGAGATAATTGTTTATCTCGTGCACATATTTTCAGGTGGTATTCATGATTCAAAAGTGGCGTGGAAATGATTACTAATGCAACTAGACCTGGACGCCCAATTTTTGTTTGTAATGATGAACTCATTGCAAAAGTCAGAGAACGGATACAAGAAGATCGCTGTTTTACTGTCAGGGTGATAGCAGATAAATGTGCTGTTAATAGAGAGACCATTCGTAAGATTTTAGTGGAAGATTTTGGCAAGAAAAAAAGTTGCTTGCAAGTTTGTACCAAATTCGTTGTCTGACGGCCAAAAACATCAGCGGGTAAAATATCCAAGAGATATCAAAACAGGAATTTTTTTGCCCCAAAACAAGTGAGTGTTCTCAACCATCCACTCTATTCGCCAGATTTGTCTCTGTGTGATTATTTTCTATTCCCAAAGTTTAAGTTACCGCTGAAAGGACGCTTCTTTGACGACAATCATGACATCAAAAGGGCCGTAACATCGACTTAACTCTGTGAGTCCCAAGGAACGCATCATACGTTCATTAGTTGCTACCTAAAAGCCCAATGAACCCATGATGCGCCGATTTTATGACTCTATTTACTACTCCCTGGGCCTGTGATGCTAAACCCCCGGGGACTCAAAGAGTTAAAGGGCCATAGCAACATAAGAACTACAAAGGTCATTCCAGTGTTTGTTAGATCGTGATACTCACTGTATCAATGCACAAGGGGTTTACTTTGAATAAAATACAGGTTATTTTAATTTTTATGGAATTAGTCTCATTACTTAATTGTCGCACCTTGTAAATCAACAAATCAGCCATTTTTACGAAAATGATCCACTGTGATGTTGATTCTTAAATCAGCCATTATCATGAACATTACCCTAATATACTTATCTTCTTTCGTCCTTATTAAAACGAACATTTTTTTTTTATTTGAAGCCCCACTCTGGCTTTTGCCAGGGGCCGCAATATAGGCAGGCCATAGATATGGCCAATTGTCTGAACGCGGTTTCTGGGACCTCTCCACGGCGATCCTCATCCACATGGTGGCACGTTGTGTCATCGGGTGTTTATCGCTTGTGTGATGTCCTGGTGGGGTAGAAAGTCAGTCAGAACATTACCCACCGTGATGATGATTTTTAAATCAACAAATCAGCCATTATTATGAATATCATCCACTGTGATGTTGATTCTTAAATCAACAATCAGCCATTATCAAAAGTATCATCAACTGCAATCCATATCCACTTTTGCCGCTAAGCGTTGCGGAGGCAATTAAAACCTAACTGGAGAGACAGATCAAGTGCAATAAAGCAAGAGGTAGACAACGATTCAAGTGAAAGGACAGCATCAAGAGTAGAGCGAACAGCAGTTTGAGAGAGTGTACAACCAAAACAAGAGGAAGAGAGTATTGGAGATTCATTGTGGAGACGGCACTTGATTGGTTTATATTAGTTCAAATATAACATTTCTTAGCCATTCGGTCAATAATAATAATAATTAAATTAATAATAATACTAATAATAATAATAATAATAACACTAATAATAATAGTAATAATAATAAAAAATATTAAAAGTAATAATAATAATAAAAATAATAATAATAATGCTCAATAAATCAAAGCCTAAGCCCTTTCAGTCACCAAACCTCCTAAACAAATTATAAAGGGACTGAGCGACTAAACCTTTCTCCAATGTTTTCTTTGCGTCTGCGTCCCTGATATTTACATTGGTAAACTGAACTTATATCAAACATTGATAAGACCCGTATCTGGCTATGAAACTTGAAGCACAACTAAAATAGACGAAGCCTTATATTAAATTTTCGAATATAAAGTTGAATGTTGAATTAAGTATCGACATAATAGAACTCGGGACACTCCCATAAGAGCAGAGTCACAATCTTCAGCAGCAAGTTCCAGTGGCGTCTGTAACTGTCTGATTGTACATCCATCTAACCTTTCCCTTGAGAGTTGAGTGTCGGCCAGATCCCATTGTAACTCCCTGCATCACCATTCTCCTCAGGCCGTAATGATCTATTTGTGTCTCTGCACTGTTCACTCGCTCCCTAAGAGCCCTCACAACATCTAGCTTGTCATACATCAGTTCACTACCAAGTTGCGCAGAACCGGTCAGTCTATCTGCCTGCTTGTTTCCAATACACCAGCATCACTTGGAGGAATTATCTAAAGGACGCGAACTAGCCGGGACTTCGGAAATGATGCTTGCCACTCTGCACGGAGCATGTCTGTCTCCACCTTTCTCAACATACTCTGTGAGCCAGTTTCAATTACGACATAAGTGTACAGCTGATTCTCAATCCAGTGAAAGGCAGTAGTGACTGCCTCCATCTCCATTCTTAAACT